ATTGAGTCAGCTTCAATACATTCCAATGGAGGAAACATTGTTTCGCTTAGCGATGTTTCCTATGGGTTTTTTCGCTTAATGACGGCAATCCGTTCCAATTGGAACGGATTAACCGGTTTCCAATGCATTCCTATGGGAAATGGTGTTTCGCATAGCGATGGTTTCACATAGCGATGTTTTTTTTGGAACGAATTAACATCGCTATGCGAGGCACCACTGTATTTGAATACCCAATCCTTATAGTGCATTCTTAAAGTGAGATTAATATATAAATAAATTCTTATCTCTAGGATTGGTATATATGTGTATGTGTTCATGCATGAGAAAGAGAAAGCTAAGAAGATCTTGAGCTTTAAGAAGTGTTCATCTGTAACTATTAATGCTCTCAAGAAAAAATGCATTTCAAAATTCAGGAACTCTACTCATATCTGGAGACGTTAGTCAAATTATACGAGTACACAACAGATTACCAACATCATCAGTTTCCTTGTTATGCTACTTTCTGATAGTTCTCTTTATGTGATGTCAAACTGATACAACAGCAATATATCTTAAGCTGTGTATTAAATATTACTGTTTTTTTTTTAAAAAAACTGGCCCACATTAAAGATTTTTCAATTACTTACTTTTTACCAAGCTTCTCTTCAATTCTGATTTTCCAGTCTTCAATTCTCTCGCGCACCAGAGCTTTTAGGGGAGCAATGTACACTGCCTTTACGATGAAAGGAGGAAAAAAAAAGATATAAGCAAGTGGAATTCCTATATACAGTGGACCCTCGACTTACAGATGGCTCGACTTACAGATTTTTCGAGTTACAGACTTCTCTGGCCGCAGAATTTAGATTCGACTTGCAGCTGGAGAATCGACTTACAGACCAGAAAAAAACCAAAATGGAACAAAAATAGAATAAAAACTGCCAGTTATGGGATTAATCGGTTTTCAATGCATTGTAGGTCAATGGAGATTCGTCCTACAGACTTTTTGACTTGCAGCCACCGTTCCAATACGGATTAATTCCTTAAGTAGAGGGTCCACTGTAATAATGCGTATGTTATTTAGCAATAATACCAAGATTGGAACCATTTTACCCATACTAGTTTGGTTGCTTATATCTAGCTTCAAGCTCAAAGATGCTATTTGTACATGTAAATACCATTTTATTCTTAAAAACAATTTTACAGATTTGAATATACAGTCAAATAACCTATTTATATTTCTAGAATACCATTACTGTAGCTCAGTCACACAAAGAAGACTATTACCACAAAAGAGATTGTGTTTTAAGGATGTAAAAATGTACAGACAAACATGGTGGCACAAAACTGTAACAAATGAAAACCATGAATTATGATAATACATCTATGTGATCATTTTACAAGAAAATGGCCTGGATATATTCAAACTGGACAGTATTCATTAGAAATTACTTTTATGAACTCTCTTACCTGAAAGACTGCTTCTTCCTATATATGTATCATCACTATGAACCATGAGACCACCTTCCTAAAGTCGCCCTTCCCTGAGCACCTTCCAAATGATGCGAGGCAAGGGGACAGGATGGTGTGGAAAAATCCTCCCTAGAGTATCTTGCATGATGTCCAGATCGTGGTCTTTTTTGAGCTAGGTAAAGATCTTTTAAATTTCCTCTTGGCTTACACCTCAGTCTTTTAAAACCTCTTCACATTATTGTTGTTTTCTATCACTTGTAATGCTACTTTAATTTCTTTTTTAATCTTAGCTATTAACTTTATATCTCAGCTTTTAACTTAAACATTTAACTTGGAAAATCTTTTGGGACTGGTTGCTAGGGAATTGTTTTAAATAAATAAATAACCTTTCATCATGGCTGCAGAGAGGGCTGCCTGTCTGCAAGAGAAGTCCTAAGTTTTTTAACTGGATAAAACAATATTTACCTCTTTGCAGTGTTTATTCAATATGGCACAATACAATGAAGTATAGCTTAGAGAACACTTGCAAGCGCAGAAATAACATTCTTACCTACTATTGTTATCTATTCACCTGGTAAATTTGGGACTAATGAAAACCAGAGTAAAGAAAGGCACACTTCTCAAGCAAATAATGGTTTTGCAAACCTTTGATGTGGGGTAGTTGTTGAAAACTCTAAAGATAGCTAATTCTGCTGCGACCGTCTTTCCAGAGCCAGTGGGAGCTCCAAGAAGAACATTGCAATCAGTATGATAGACTGTATGAAATATCTGGGTCTGAATTGGGTTGAAATGGGTGAATTTGTACAGGGCTTCATACTTAGGATGTCCCAAAGCTGTGATAGGTAATGGCTGGAGATCCAGTAATTCTAAAAATTGAAGAGTAATCATTAGTATATATTTAAATGCATAAATAAAACAGGATACTTCTAACACCAGCACAGAGAATAATGGGAAATACATTGTTATTAAAAATGATACACACAGTAAGATTTTAGATGAAATATAATTTTCTGGCAGCTTTTTTTTTCAATGGCAGACAGCAAGGAGAACAACTGAGAAGCCCATCCATCCATCCATCCATCCATCCATCCATCCATCCATCCATCCATCCATCCATCCATCCATCCATCCATCCATCCATCCATCCATCATCTTAAGCCAGATTGTTAAGGATATGAAGTATTGCTTGTGTCCCAACTTTGCAGAGAAGTCTATTTCATAAGATGCCATTGTCTTTCCAAACTTACTGTAATTAGACCTAAATCTGCCATATCAAAGCAAATATGCCCCATAATTTATGAGGGCAAAGATAAATAAACCAACTCAGGGAACATCATAGCTCGGAACAAGGGTACTGAGCCTTTCAAGGGGTCTGTTTATATAATCACCATTCCACTGGAGCAGAAGGCTAAAAATAAAACTGTGATGAGGGGATTCACAAATAGGCACAACATAAGATAAATGTCTGATCTGACTCCTAGTTCCACAAAGTTTTAGTGACAAAACTGTTTTATTTAAAAACTGCCATTATAAACTTCCCAGTTGTGGAGAAATTCTTGACAATGGCAGGGTAACACCTGCATGCTTCTGAAGAGATTTCATATTTTCCTGGAGATAAAAGCACATACTTTTTCTCAAAACCAATTGTCTCACATTCAGTGCAAGCCACTGTCCATATTATGCTATGAGTTTTGTTGTCAAAATGCTTAAACGGAGATATGAGGTATCAATTCAAAATTTTACAACAATCAATGATGCAAGACAGCTCTCCATCTTTCTCTCCCATTTCCAGCCCACACATCTTCAGTCTCTATGAGGGGTGCTGTATTCACCTTTACTAAAATATTATGCTCAAGGCTCATGCAAAAATTATCCTGTAAGTGGCCACCACCACCACAGTACTGTACCATTAATTTGCACCACAGCCATGTGCACCTTGAGCAACCGTTCAAGAAAGAAGTGTATCTTGGATTAGACTCTGACAGGAAGCAGAACTTGAAAATGTTACTTTTTGGACTACAACTCCCAGACACCATCACAACTGGTCTGGGAATTCTGGGAGTTACAGCCTTAAAAAAAATCCTCCTTTCCCCAAGCTTTGGTCAGAAACCATCACTCCAAAAAATCTGCTGTTTATGCAAAGACAACCTTGGCTTGAGAAATATGGCTGCAGTACTCATTTCCTGTTCCTTTCTCTTCCAAAGAAAAAGTAGAAATAAGGACAACAGAAGCTTCTCCACTGGGAAAAACAACTATACATTAAAAAAAAACACTGCTTGAATGAACATTTTGATCATTGCAGCTGGGCAGAAAAATGGCCTAGTTCACATACAGAGATTTCTTCTGCTTTATTTAAATAAGTGAGAGGCTGAAATTGGCTTTCCTCGGTAAATTAGCGGCTGAAATCTTGTTGCTTCATCACAGAAGGCAAATGGCATAATATGCACTCACTTTCAGCTATTATTTTTTTTGGGGGGACACCTGCATCTTCTCGTTTGGCATGTGTTTGAGAATCCCAGTAGGGACTTGTTAAGTTGCTAGCTAGAAACAAGTGAATTTTACACCATTTGCCCTTCACATGCATAACAAAGCAACAGGGATTCAGCCAGTGATTCACAGTAGAACTTTAAGTGATCATACAGAATCAGTGAACACTTACTGTGATTCATTTGAATCTTTGGACATCTTAAACAAGTAGGTTAAAGTTAGATGAAGGTAAACAAGCTGAGATGTAATTCACAGAAGAGAGAAAAACTAACAGAATCTACTGATCTAGATGGGGAGCTGCAGTTGCTATTGAACAGGGCTACCCATACAAGAATGGGGTCATTCACATCCTGGTTGCATTCCCAACTAAATATAGTGATGTTTTTGTTAAGGCTGCCTGTAAAGAAGCTTTGGAAGTGGTGCAGAATGCAGTCAGGTGGTGCAGAATGTGGTCTTTTAATTGCTTGTGGAGACTAAGCAATCAGTATGTATAATACTGATTGTGTAGCAAGTGCACTTGTTCTAAAGATATTTTCAGACCCAATTTAAGCTGCTATTGATCAACTTTAACCTTTTAATAGTTTGGGACTAGTTACTGGAAAGACCACTTGCACCTGAGATTTGACTCAAAAACGTATCATTCCTCGTTGCAAAGTGCAAAAGAAAGGATCTTTTCTATGGTGGCTAAATCATTATAGAATGTTCCTCTGCAGGAGCTACACCACGATATCTCTCTAACTATTTTATATGGGCCGCAAAGACCTGGATTTTTTAAAATATGAATTATGTTGCCCCTCTAACAAATTTTGAATTGAAGATTTTTTAAAAAATTGTTACTTTTTTGTTGGAAACAAATGTTTCCTGTTTTAAGTCAACTGTATTTCATATTTTTGTTGGTTTTGTATTGTTTAATACAACTGCATTAGCTTTGGCCCTGAAAGGCTGTACAGAACTAAACAATCTAAAAAGCCCCAAACCCAGCAACAACAATTATTCCATCTAGAACATAAGACACAATGGACAAGAAAAGCTTCAAAAGGAAGAACTATACTGTGAAACAGCAGCCAAACGAAGACTGTAATGTAAGTCTGAGTGAAGACTGTTTGCTGACTTTGTTGAAATAGTGTGGAAAATATTACAACACTATAGAAAATTATACTGGTGGAAACTGGAGAGAGATGTGCCTATCTCTCTAGATTAAGCTTTAATGTAATTAAAATATAAATAAAACAAGAATTCTTCAGTGTAAGAATTGTATGCAACATTCCAGAAGTGCCTGTTTGCCAAAAAATTGAGGAAGCTGGAGTGGAGGACATTGGAATACAAATAATACAGACTAGGCCCTGCTTCTATCAAATTAGCAGGGACTTGCACTGATTCTGTTACACAGATGCCTTTTTTGAAGTTTTGCTTGGCTCAAGATCTCAGCACCCCTTTTAGGATAACTACACAGTAAGATATGACTGGAGAGTCATAAAATTTGCTGAGGTTTGAAGGCTTAATATTCTTAACATATTTTTCATAGATACTTCAGAAGTCTTTCATCATCTCCCATTAATGCTGTGATTTCTTGGGATCTGTCAGAGGGAGAAAAGGCCTTTTCTTGATCTTTGTCTAAGAGGACCTCTGCATACTTCATTGTTTCAGAGGAACCAGATGGGAATGGCAGTCAATTACCATAAATCCTGAAGTTCCCCTATCTGCTGATGTGTAAATACCTTTTTGTTTCTTCTGAACAGCACTCGTTGGTTAGTCAATTAGATAAATAGGGTACACATGTTTGGCCAGACAGATTAGGCACGGTACAACAATGGCCCAATGCATCACGTGCATGTATGAATTTATACATGTTAAAAACAAAAGGAGCTCACAGCTTCAGACATGTCCATTTCTGAATTTTGAATGCACTCAGTATGCTGAATTTTAAATGAGACTGGGATGACAACAATAGAGGCCTTTACAAAAAAAAAAAAGGCCCACTGATGTATAGCTGTTTAGTGAACTAGAAGATGCAAACAAACTCATGCGCCAACTGTTTTTGTATTCATGGCTCTGCAATGTGGAGAATGACAGGATGAAGTTAATGCACAGTGCCTTTAGATCATAGATAAAACAAATAAAAATAATCCTCATTTTAATCTCCTCCTTTTTGGCAGAATTTTTTAAAAAAAAAAAACCTTTAAAATTCTGCTGATGCTTTTTGAAGGAAGCATGTTGAGAAGAATGGTCTATCTTCCAGGGTGAAGACAGAAATTCCAAACATATACGTAAAACAATTAATAAATCCTACCGTTTTGATTACTTAATGAAGTTCACAGTTATTAAGAATGAATTAAAGTGCTAACAGGCAGAAGAAAATAAACATTGCAGTAGTCCATAAGACAATTTTAGACAAATAATTTCTTCAACAACCAAAGATACGTATGTAATTATGTGTGAATGCAGCTAGGTATACAGACTGTTACCTGTGTGAGGCGGATGTCTCTCTGGTAAGATCAGATGTTGAAAATTGATGATACACACAGCCTCAGCTCCTAACCATCTGTCAGACACAGCCCGAATGTAGTACTGAGATGGTAATGGTTCAAAAATTGGAATTGTGAATACTAGGAGTTGAGTTTCTTTTGCAATGACCTATGGTAAACAAGAATTACCATTGTTTTCCAGATGACCAGAATCATATTACTCTCTTTTATCATGTATATGCACTAAAATAAAACAAATAAATCAAAATAATCCAAAGAAAACCCAAATAGAACTCTATTTATATTTATAAAACAATCAGTAAAACAAATAGATTCAGTTGGGCTTCAGAGACTAGACCAAACTCTTGCTAATAAAATGATTTCTTCATGAAATTACAGCTAGCAATAATCTGCATTTACGACTATAATCATGTATTTGATTTTTCCTCTGCTAGAAATTCTCCCTTCATGTACACAGGAAAGGCAAATTCTTTATTCGATTTGATTTTTAAAATGATGTCCTGATTGATTGTGTAGAAAGCGAGCTTTAGAATGGGAATCTGAAAAATGAAATTTAGGTAAACACTGAATACACCTAATATCATCATGCTATAATACTTATGTTAACTTGATGCTATGAAGCTGTATCTAATCAGTTTACATTATGCACGTGTTTCACATTGTTCTGTAGGGTAAATATACCTGTTTCTTTTGAATAATAAAATATTCTGAATGGTAAATGTGATCATTGGTAGGGTCTTCCACCCAAATCCACCAGGGCTCTCCACCTGTTCCATGCACCTGACAAAGAAAACATAATAATTAAAAGTATACTGTAGCTCTCTAAAGGCTTTCAGGCTATATGTTACAGCAAATTGGTGCAAAGTTATTTGTTGACAGAGGGAAGAAAATTTAAATATTCTATTAAAACAATTTTTGTAATGGCAGTGCATTCAGTGTTAGAAAAACATATTTTACTGGGGTAAAAAAAATGATAGAGCCAGTCATATTTTCTTATAGACTCTCAAACAAGATTGAATGGGAACAATACATTTCTTTGCAGTTTTCTTGCAAACTTTCCACTTAATACAGCTACAGATGATGAAATATTCAACTATGGTTAAATTTTACAGAAGCAACTGTCAACACTCTAGCATTGTTCATACAGCTGGGCAAATGTGTGTGGACTTAACAATGCAGATGTGGATATACAAGCCACATTCCAGTACCCCCAAGCATTCTCTCTGCCTCTGATCTAAATTCATTAGAATTACTCTTCCAAACTTTTTGGATTTGGAACCAGTGCCTATAAGAATGTAAGGGTGGAACTCATATGTGTCCCCACCATTCGCTCCCAAACTTTCAGCCTACACAATATCATCTAAAGATGTGAATGGCACCTACTGGTGTTAATATAAGGAGCACAACTTCACCTCCAATGTGCTTTTCATCTTAACGAAGTGCACTAATATGTTTTGTGGTCAGCATTTATGTGGCATTCGACTTAAATTTAAAGGTCACCCAAAGACTTGGGAAAGGTAGGAGCAATTTGAATACTTTTAAAAAACTTCTGCGGGTATGACTGCTGGGAACTAAAGAAGCCAAAAACTTCCTGCATGTTCTCCGAACTTCATATTCTATACATTTTTACCTGATCGTTCCACTTGAAATCAGAAGTGATGCTCAACCTAACCCTCAGCACAGTACGTGTAATTGGCTGAATGGTTGCTTCCATTATAATAGAGGGAATCTGATGAGCACACTGTTTGACCTTTAATCCAATATTCACATGATGGAGGATATGGCCTGCAAAGTAAATATAAGACTTGAAAGAAATCTGCCTTTGCCAAAACCTGGAAAAATGAATGTTGGGCAAACTTTTAAACAGACTTAGATAGAATCATCTTGCTTATCTCTTACAGTATGTTAAATGAAATAACTTTCCTAACTTCAGTGTTAAAATAAAAAAGGCTGAAATCCTGTTGCTCAGTGTAATAAGTTTCAACTAGAGTAGGCCCATTAAATCAGTGGGAATTTCAGCCAGAGAGCTGTATTCAACTGTGCATTTTCTGCCAGTGGAATGGACATTGTGAGTGGTACAGGTTTTATATATCCATGGGGAGTTCAAATGCATTCTGAAGGGTAGGGGACAAGATAGAAAAAAATGAAGGGAAAGAAATCCATTAGGAGGAATTCCTGTTGCACTAATGGGTTTAATGTCAGATATAGCATAAAGTAATGAGGAACCTGAATTGCCATTTTACCCCTTTTAAACTACTTCTAGCTGTTAATAATGGGTTAAATATTTATCAAGAATTGATACCATCTAATCCATCATTTCAAGTCAGTTTCTTGGCAGATTTCTATGCCTCTAAGAAACACATCTCTTTTGTTCGCTTGCTCTTTACTAATGTAAATCTAGCTTCTGAGCTTTTGTGATACAGAAGTATTTCCAGCTGTGTGAAATTAATGCCCCAGAAACCCTTGGATAGTGCAAGATCTAAACTGAGTAAAATAAAACAGAGCGTCAGACACTGATCTCAAAATATCTGAGATATATAGAGTATTTCCTTATACAGCTTACCTATCTCATCTTTTCTCATGTCCTTCAGCTTATCAATGGTGAGATTCTTTTGTTCCAATTTGACAAGGATGTGTGGTGGCAGGATTGAAAATTGCCGCAAAGGACTGACCCAACCCCACAGCCTCTTGTCAATAACTTTGCTGAGGTTCAGTAGCCGGTAGGTCATTGCAGGCCAGCGTTTACGGAGGGCTATTTCAAAGAGGGCTCGAACAATACGTGCTGCATTCTGGAGAAGAAATGTAGGTGAAACACTGTATTACGTTTGTTCTTTATTCATCACAGGAAGCACTAGTCTGACATAGAACAGTGGCTGCTGATTTGGCATCTACAATATGAAAATTCCTCTGGAAAGTTCATTTAGGAATCTTGTTAACTGACACCAGCTGAAATCCACTTTCTTATGCAATGATACAGATACTTGCTAAGACTGTATTTGCTGCTTTATTATGTTCTCTGTGATACTGTATCATTATGTTTCATTATTTTAATTGGTGAAAATAGTTTGGTTTTAACGCCGGCCTTTAAAAAAATTGAACTTTACAATAAACTACCAGAGAAAGGTAATCGTGTGATTTCTAATTTATAGGTAATAGCTATCATGTCGTGGTCTCTGAGTCAAGAGAAATGTCCTGCGGACCTCCGGTAATAAGTAGCAGCTTTATGAGTTCCCAAGAATATAAAATCAATGTGAAGAAAGGTTATTTGTGGTAAAACTTTAAAAAGCACTACTTTATCACAGGCTGGAGAAGTACAATCCACTCCAGGCTTCTAAATGCAAACTACACAGCAACTGTATATGAGTAAAAAACTATGCTAATCATGGACTTTGGTTCATATAAAAATAAGTCACACAGAAAGGATCAAAAGATTACCACATAATTTTTACCTGTGCAACATAACCAGAATCTGAAATTAGAGAAAAACTATCCATCTCTCCCCGGCTAATATATGTTTGTAGAAGGATATTTATTTTCCCATAATTATTTTCCACACCACCAGGAGCAGGAAGTTCACAGAAATCACTCAGTAAGGCTTCCAGTTCTTCTATTTCTTCTTCTCTCACCTGAAATATAAATTAGCAGACTTCAAAAAGGCTGGAGCAACTGGTTAAATCTTCCACATGAAAATTAAATGACAATTATTTCCCAATAAACGTGTTTTTAAACATTCTACAGTTTCTGAAAAACAAGTCCCCCAGTACTGCACTTAATAGAACCTAATTGAAACTATCTTAATAATGACACAATTGCATTTCATTATGCATAACCTTTTATTAAGGTTGCCATTGACACATAAAAAGGTGATATGCCTCAAAAATTAAATCTTCTGACCATACCATCCTCCACCTGATGAAATTCCCTTTTTATGCGACCTCTGTCCTTCTGGATTACAGCAAACTTGAATTAACATTAAATGTGTTCATTAAAATAATATAGTTTGCATATGGCATATTATGTTCTTAGCTCAAAACTCTGAAGTACTATGATTCATGGTATTAAGGTTTTCACTGTTAATAAGATTAAGTCTTAATACAAGTAAAGAAATATTCATATCTACAGTTTGAATAATGCATAGTATTTCAAATTCTTCCTCATACTGGCAAAACAGAGCATAAATCTCCATATTCTTTGATTTGGTGAAAGTCTATTAGTCTAAAACTTACTTAAAGAGGGTAAATGTTTGGCACCTGCAGGGAACCACCTGAAGGCAGCTTCTATCAAGCTCTGACCAACTCATTCAGCCTGAAGGCAGAGCTGAAAAGTCACAACTATCACTTGAACTGCTGGCAGAGTTTTTCAATCACTTTGTAATTATCTCATTTCAAGAAGACCCAACTCGGTTACTGAATGAACACAATGTTCACATCAGTCCTCTTTCAACATTCACAGTTGCACACAGCACTTACATGAATAAAGGGACTAGTGGTTGATGTCTTAATAACCATGAGACAAAAAGAAAGTCAACGTCAATTTTGCCTAGTAGGAAGACAGAAGTTCCTGTCCACTATTCAAGCCACATGTGGACCAAAGTAGACGTTGGCAGGCAAATAAGGTTAGTTTTTGTACAATACAAAATATCCTCCTCAACTGATAAAGCAAAAGCAAAAGTCAACTGAAATGCCAACTCAACTGAAACGCACAGGCTTTTCTTGAACTGCTGTCAAAACAGAGTGTTTGTTTGCCCTGTACTTGATCCATCATTAATACAATTCAGCTCAAAGCAAGCTTAAGAAATTGAAAACATTAAATATAATATATAGATACAGGATGTTCCTAGTTAGAAAATACTCTCTAGGTTGAAGAAACCATAATAAGCAGTGGAGCCTGATGACGCAAAAACAATGAGCAGTATAATTTAATGACACAAAACCCATTATATCTGTGCATATGCTGGATACGCAGTGGTTTAGGTATCTAGCTGTGGAACCAGAAGTTGGGAGTTCAATTCCCCACTGTGCCTCCTTGACAGGAGCTGGACTTGATGATCCATAGGGTCCCTTCCAGCTCTGCAGTTCTAAAATTATTACTATATTAGGAGCTGAGTCTGGCAGACTTGGAGAACTCTATTAACAGAAGCATTAGCATTCACTATCAACTCAAGAGCTGCCCCTGATTATAAGAAAAGGAAGTGCAAGCCGACTTTGATACAGAACTACTCAGAAGAGTTCCTATACCCCAAAACACACATTGGATTTATTGTGTATAAAACACTCCTGGATAGGATCTAAGATCTTAATATACTAATATAACTAATGAAGAAATTTCAAGTTGTGTTTCTTTGATACTTTAAAAGAGCACCAAAAATGAACATAATCACGTGATAATCTTCATTGAATTTGAAAGATTTTCATAGAAAGACATTTTAAAGAAACTGCAGTGTATTCTTACCTTGACCTGTTCAAATTCCTCTGCTTTAGACACTATAGCAAGGATGTCACCTTCTGTCTTATGGGCATTAAATAGTTCATTAAAAGTCTGCCCAAAAAAAAAAGGAGAGAGAGAGAGAGAGAGAGAGAGAATGAGAGTGTATATCTGCTGTTTAGAATATTTAGTAATAGCCCAAATTTAATCCTTGTCTGGGGCAGGGAATTTTATCATCATCAGCAATGCTACTCAACAATTCTACATTCCGCTTTCTTTGAAAAATGATGCAGAGTCTTTGCATTCTGTAAATCAAAGCATCATCTTGAGATCTGTTAAATGAGCCTGATAAAGAGAAAATAGCTTTCACCTTAAAAACAGACATCAGTAAAATAAACTTCAGGTTAAAAAGTGTTCACATTTAATTATTTAATTGAATAACCTGCACAGGAATCAGAGTATTTAAAAATATAACCCATTTCAAATAAGATCCCCAGACAAAGTCTCTAAAATCTAGAGCACGAGTCTCAAAACTTTTCAGCATGAGGGCCATATCATATATTTTACACATTTTTGAGGGCTGAAGGAGGGGAGGGGGACAGTGGTTGTAGCAGATGATTCTCCTCTTACTATGCCCAGGCAGAGATAGGAAGAGGAGCGAAGCCTGACAGAAGCGATTCCCCCACCCCTGTTGCCTTTGCAAAGACAGTGGGGGTGGGGGAGCGCTTGGGTCCCCTTTCCCTCCTCTTCCTACACCTAGGCCAGATAAAAAGGCAAGGTGGGCCGGATGTGGCCCACGGGCCTTACTTTGGAGACCCAAAGTAACAAACAAACATTACTGTTTGGAAATGTACTATAACTTCTGCACATACACATATGTTTATGTAAACATTCAAATATCTTTGAAGAGTATACACCTTTCCAGCACCCCAAACAGGATAAGAATACTCCATAGAACTATTCCTGTGATTTTTCGACTTATATAGCACTCAGCAAACAAAAACGTGATGATTTCCTGAATAGAAAACTTACTACTATAATATAGTAGCTTCTTAGAACCTCCTTTTACAGGATGAAAGTCTGTGAAATATAATGTAGCACCATGAGTATGCTTTTCCCACTTGGAGATAAAAGAATTTAGCTAGGCACAAGATTACAATATATCACTAGATTAAAAGCTTGAGGTGAAAATTAAATATAACTTACTGGTTTTATTTTAAAAGATGAGGGAATTCAGGAGAAGAATACTTTACCTCAATTGTATTATATTTAATATAGAAGTGGCTAGCAATTCTGCCAAGGTCTGTTGAAGAAAAGAATCCAGTTCTCTCTTCAAAACGAATCATCCGGGCTTTGTCCAGCTTTCGACCAGCTTCTATCACTAGTTGTTCTCTATGTTTCTCTAAACTTGGATCCATCTAAAATACAGTGAGATAATATTACAGTGAAATATTATTTTATGTCTGTTTAAGTATTCCTCCCTCTCTCCCTTCTTATCTAATCATTATTCCATCCCCCCATTTTTAGCACCTTTATGGATGCAGTTCACTTTCAAAAATGCATGATCTGGAACATTTAGATTTGTAATACTTCATAAGCCAGTGCCATTTTCCTTCCACCCTAGCATAAACTTGGTAGAAAACGTTGATGTAAGGAAATGGGAACAACTGGCTGAAACACAGGAGACTTGATCTGTGAAGATTCTCTGTCATCCAGATATAGTTATCTGGAAGTAGACTCATAGCAGGAGACTTTGTTGTATTTGACAAGATGAACAATTTTAGTTTTTTGTAGAAAAGAAAAAGAGATGTTGTGTTTATGTGTATGCGTGCATGCAAGTGTACGTATGTACTGGTGCCATCTCTAAGTCATGTGCATATTGGTTGTGTTCAAGATAAAGTTATTGGAATGCAATATATATTACAGTGGTGCCTCGCTTAACGAGTGCCTCGTTTAGCGATGAATTCGCATAATGATGTGGTTTTTTAGAAAATAATATGCACCGTATAATGATGTTTCCTATGGGCGATTTTCGCTTAGCGAAGTTTGGGACCATGCTTCGCATAACGAATGCGATTTTAGGTCCCCTGCTTCACTTAACGATGTTTCTTTTTTCAATTTAAAAAGTGTCTTAGAAGGGTCAAA